GCAAAACAAAAAATGTTCTTGTTTTTAATAAAAAAACAATTAATTTGCGGTTTACGATGTGGCCTAAAAATATTTCAGTAGTGTATCAAAAGCTTAGCCTTCATTTTCGTTGTGCAGTCACTGATGTATAATATTTCTAATAGTACAACATAGGGATGTCCTAATCATTTCTTTGTTATTTTATGGTAGAAGGCCATTAGTGATCTGTATTGATGTACTTAAAAAAATGAACTTGCCGTATCTGTGTACGCTTTCCCATTGATTCAAGACGATCAAAACAATTAATTTAATCCTGTGAGCTTGATGATGTGAAAAAATGGTTAGGTTTATATTATACGGTTGGATAATGATTGCAATCGGCTTAGATAGAAATCTTATTGTATTATTCTCGTTAATCGTCTTAAAGGTACTTCCTGTACAATAAATATATAATATTATATTTTCCTTCTCGGCAAAACGATGATATTCCCACGGTAATGGTCTAAAATTGAATGTTCTTCATGACCACACATAAATACATTAATGTATATATCAATATGTATACTTACCAGTTCAAAACGTACAATACTCAAGTCTACATAGTTGCACCAATATTTTTGACAAAAATTAACTACCGTTAAACGGAAACTGATAAAATAAAGGGACGTGGATTTCTTTTATGTATATCTATTCAAAAGGCTTCATAAACCTTAATCAAAGAATTAGATGGTATAGGAAAACGGTTTTTTTTTTTGTACATGAAACATTCTTAGAACTTGGCGCTTCTGATTTCGATACGTGCAATTTTTTTGTTTTGTGTGTTCTATCAGAATGAAAAACGCTAATATTTGTTTCCATAAATCACGTTGGCGGGGGAGGGTGGCGACCGTTAATCTCGTCATCTTTGGACTGACTACCAAAGTACATAACTGTAATAAAAAAAAAAACCAGAAACTTGAGATTTGACACGTAACGCAGCGGACCCAAATGCAATTCCTTTCAGCTGATGTAAACGTTCAATCGTGACACGATAAATGTATACAATTTTTTTTTTCTATTTTCATTTTATCTCCGTCGACCGAGTGAGAACAATATTATTACCGCGGTCGGTCAACGATTTTTTTTGTTGTTCTCCGGCAATACATATATTGTAATCTTTCACTTGGTAAAAAAAAAAAATCTGTGCCGCATAAACCTTGTCAACGTCGTTGTATATGCTGACCGGTGTTGTGATAACTGCTTTTTTTTTCTCCGCCAATGTTCAAAACGATTTTTATTATTATTATTATTTTTTTTATCGCCAAAAATCGCTGTTGCTGCGGTTAGACGTTCGGTGGTCGCACGCTGTTCGCCAATCGGTTCTCGGTTTTGTAGTTATTGTAAGCATTTTGGCCTCTTCCGAAAGCGCTGACCTGAATCTCTAGGCTCGCGCTTAATCATCATTAGAATAATATCAACCGTAATGATACTGTTTTTATCATGCTATGGCTCTTCATATTTTTTGGCAATCGTTTCTCCAGTGGAATTTCGTAACGGATTGAAAGAATTGAATTATTACCGATGGCGCATTTCGTCGCCGTAAACTAATTTCGAATTCTCCGGTGTCGTCGTCTCCCAGGGAAATTAATTTCGAATTTTATTGATAAAACGTTCTCCATACCTACCCGGCACGGTTGTTCAGGAGTTTCAGATTCTCACATCCCGCAATAACGCGTCGTACATTCCTCGTTCCTTAGACAGAAAAAAAACTATCCGTTCGGATCGTTAAGTCATCTCTGTCCTTCCAAATATTTTTACTGACAATTTCAACACACACGAACAAAAAACGTTATGGCGTTTGTCAAGCTTGGGAAACAAAATTATAAATCCTAAGTTCCATCATACATCATTAAATGTACCTAGGTAAAAACTCAAAAGCAAATTTCACAATCGGAGGAGAACATAAGAAAAAATAGAAAAGAAATATTGTCCAATTTTGTTGAGATATTAAATTTATCATATAACTGTAATAAATATGTAATAATCTAAATGAAAAAAATAATTATTCAACTTATGCAATAAACCTACAGCAATAAATTTCATAATTACTACGTTTCATAGATCTATAAAGTGGTGTCGGTGGTAATTTTATTACATATTATAAAAACGTTAAAGTTATTTGAATAATGATCAATCCAATGACGATTAAGACTTATTGATAGTCGTGCCATTGACACTTTGGTGCTGAATACTTGCCAACATCTAATACTTACAAAGTATAAGTCTTACAATATGTGTTATCTGTTAACTATACAGTACATATCATATTTTAAATATAAAATAAGTAATTACCCATCATCTATCATTTTATTTGACCTTGTTGGGTATGTGAGATTCAACTTGATGTTCGTTGTGGTAATGAACTATTCAAGTTTCAAACATATTATTTACTATCAGTTCCCACAGAACTTATTTGTCCTAATCCTAATTCTAATTTATAAATTATGTCCATTTAGGGTAAACTTAACTATGTTTAAACTTTAAAAAAAGATTTACTGTGTAAACATTCGAAGCTTTTACTAAAAATCGACGAAACGCCAGTATATACTTTTATTTAAACTCCCACATCCTCTAAAATGTCTGTATAAAATAAATATTGCCTTATGGTAAATCTATTTTGCCTAAACCGAGCTTAATAATCCCTCGAGTTCTCTTAAAGTCACGGTGTCATTCTGTCCATTTTATAGTTGGTAAGAATGTGATATTAAGCCAGATTGTTCATTAACCCTGCGGTAGTTGGCTACCTAGTACCTGTTATATCTGTTTATTAATTTTTTTCGTTACTAGTGTGATTTGTTAAAAAAATACTCACTCGACTACCATTTTTTTGTCGATGAAATATATTATTTGAACTTTAAAGTTTAAATTTCCAATTAGTCACTCTTTATAATATGCTGACTGATAAGTAGATAATTATACAATAAAACCACAAATTTATTACCGTTAATTCTTAACCTCCGGAGTCCAGATTTCTATTTAGTTGGTTTTATTATATTGATCTTTACATTAACGAGCAGTGCAAGTTTTATGGTTTTTTAAAATGTGTGCCTGGTAAAACAAAACTAAATAATATATGTATTTAGAGATAAAGAGTAAAACGATCGAAAGTTATCGATAGTTGTTGGTATGGACCGGCCGGCTTTCTAGACGGGTCCACGGTCGTGTTGACCATTAAAGACATAGATATGTCCAAAGTATATTGATTTTTTTTTTTTTAAATATTGAAATGTTAACGCCATAAACAACCGTCGCTTTACGTACGACATACACAAACGGGAATGACCGCGTTCAATGATTTTAATTATTAGCTTTTACTACACGGTGCACCGCTAGAGAGTTTTATCTACTTTTATATAATATATTCGGTTAATGATTTCTCGGAATGCGTTGATTTTACGCTAGTCAAGCTCGGTCACAGCGTCGTTTTCGGGTGGTTCAAATATAGATAGCGTCGATCTGCTGTATTTCATCATAGTGTTACATTAAACTAGAATAAAAAAATAGTTATATTATTTTTTCAGCATTTATGAGTGCACTTACTAGAGATAATTGTTAAGTTTATTGACATAGTTCCATTCATTACAATGAAGGTTCACCGTGACTACGGTTGACGTTAAACCCGTCACAACATATATAGTTTCTCCCCTGGGGCAAGTGCATATTGGTTTTTTTTTAGTTATGTATTTATTTATACAAATTTAAAGTAGAAAATTATAATAATAAATGTCAAGGACCACGTTGGTCCGTGGACATAAAAATTTAATGATATTATTTTAAATATTAAGCGTTCGCCGTCTGTCAATAATGCTATTCGTGACATAAACAACATTGTACACAACGCATTTTTTAAATTTATAAAAAAAAATATTTATAAATGATTTGTGCGCTGGATAAATTTCATATGCCGTTGATAAATTACCGTGGAACGAGTATCGTTTAAACGCGAGAGAACCGGAGAACGATGTTTTACATAGTTGGCGTGTTTTTTTTTTTTAATATTCAATGGAGGTTTAATGTCGCAGTGCACTGTTGAAAAAGCCTTAAGATGCATGCCAGTTTTAAAGGGACTCTTGGTTTTGCGTTGTAACCGTCTAACTGGTGTACAAACCAAACGGATAGCTTTTTTAAATAAATTGCAAACATTACAGTCGTTATTATGGGCACATAAAGGTGGAATAAAAATTAAAATAGGCGTCATTGACCAACGAGCGAAACAAACAACTGCTAGGTTGTTGCATCTTGTTGCGATCAAAACGCATTTTTGTGAGAGCTAACACATAATGTGTATCTTTTCCAACTGACCAAAGGCGTTCACGACGCCGGCCCTTTTTTCCTTGCTAGGCTTTCTCTTTCCTCTCCAACGCCGTAGATTTTCGATAAATTTAAGACCTCATTTACCTTTCACTATTCGCCGGTACGATTTCGTGTGCAGGACGGCGATATCACCGAACACCGACTGCATCAAACAGACTCTGTGCGTGTACGATGCACTTAAGCATTGGTACCTATAGTTTTTATTTTAATGAATGTCCGCGGCGACGAGTCAATGTCGTTATGCTATTGTAATTACACTGTCGGCCGATAATTTCAATTTTTTTTGTTTTTTACCAAACAAAACTCATGGTATTTGTTATTTTTGAAAAACGCCAACGTTAAATAAATCCTCTCAGGGTAATTGTATATTACAAAACCAATAATATTATGTCTTTTTTTACCTATACCAAATCCGAAATTATCATGTTACATCCTCTCCGGCTTGACTGCACACGCGAGTCCAGTGCGGCGTTCAACTAGTGTTTTATTGGTTTTTGAGTTCGACGTGTGATTAATTATATTTCGAACGAAGGACGTTGTGTTTTTGTCCGAAGTAACAATAAGACTAACGAAAACTTGTCACTGAGACGCAGTACCTATAACAATAATAATAATGCGATTACTGTTGAAGATGTGAATCTAATTAACCTTGAATCTGTTTTGCGCAGGTGTTTATGTGTGTGTGTGTGTATGATATTATGACGGTAACAGCGACGGCAGCGGAAAACTGAGTGGCAACGGAGACCACCAAAAGGTCATGTCGACGACCAGCGGCGGTGACGCCAACACTCCAAGCGCTATGCAAGAAAACTCTGTGACAACCGTTTACAACGGCGACCGGACAGATAACGAACATCACAGGCTATCGCCATCCACCTCGTCCAACGGCGACAGCGGCTTGGACAACTCCAATACCTCATCGTCGGCCGGCGACGCTAAACTCATCATAGATGTGCCAGACTTTTCCAAAGGTAAGGTGGTGTTCGACGGTCGTTAAAATAATTGTAAATCGATTACTGTTGTGTGCCCGATTAATAATTGTCGTCTTATCCGGTGTACACAGTTATGGAATCACCTCGCACGGGTATCGACAACCCGAGTTTTGAGACTGACAAGTCCGACATACCAAAGCCACAGACTAACGGGCACAATGGACACAACGGCACCGTTCACCAGGAGAACGGCAAACTAGAAAAAGAAAAAATGGCCGAAGCCGTCAACTTGGAACTGATTAACATGAAACCGTTTGGGAAAAGCCTGAACGGCAACGGCATTAGCGTTCCAACCAAGAAGAAAGAGACTGCTGTTAACATGAACGATTCGTACGACGATTACTTCATTCCCGTCAACGAACACAAAAAGTATATAAGGTAAGCGTCCAATGCCGCCTATGTTTACCTTAGTCGACAATCGTGCATGTGTGTACATTAAGAGCATGTTTATCGATTTCATAAATTTGGGACCCTGTTCCTAGAATATCCAGAATGCGTTTAACTATGGGCCCGTGTGTAATATTTTTAATTATATTTTTTATAACAGAGGCGGAGAAAAGTTGTATGTCACCAAAGACAAACGGGACTTGAACCAGTCAAGAAAGCCTTTTATTTGCTGGGTCTTTGGACTAGTCCTGTTAGCCGCCGCTGTCATCGTTGCTATTCTGGCATCGAGTAAGTACAATAGTTTGTCAGAGTCACGAGCATATCAATAAACAACTATTTATTAATTTTAGCCGGTGTCATATTCAACAACGAAGCAGCAATGGAGAGTCGCAATTTCGCCGAAAACGAAAAAATTGCAGGTTTCGGCAATCGCCCTGGTCCGTTTTCTTCGGTTAGTCCACCGCCATCATCAGACGGTCCTGGTCCTTTTAGTCCACCAACAACAGACATGTCGGAAGTTAACGTACCAAGGACAATACAAGGAGAAATAGTCATTGATAATATGGAGTTCACACCGGGTCTGGCTAATAAATCATCCCCTGAATTCGAAGCACTAGCTAGTTCAATCGAAGGCGAGGTAATTATAGCGTATAATTTTTAGTATTTTGAATGGTTAATATGTATGCTATTTACTTTTAGCTCAAGAGGGCACTGTTCGAGGAACAAATGTATGCAGCTTCCTCTGATATACATGTTAAAGTCTTCGAGTTCACGTGAGTATATAGTTTTAGTAAACAAATTTATAAGTTTGTCTCTATAAAAAAATTAATAATTTATTTATAGTCGTGGAAGTGTAGTAGCTATGTACAGAGTTGGATGGGAAAATAAGAACGATGTTGAAATGCCAGATCCCATAACTGTTGAAACGCTAAAGGAGCGATTGGACAGTCATCTAAGAGCAAGTGACGGATTTTTGTACAATTATAGGATTCCTGTGCATAGATTACGTTCAGAACGTAAGTAATTATTTCGTTAATCATTTTAAAATATCATTCATTCCATTATTGTAACATTTTCAATACAAAATCTAGAAATGTCTTTTTGTTTTAATATATGTTATTTAAATAATATACTTAAAATTATATTATGTTGGATTATTAAAATTTTTTTAATTCAATTATCTGATTTACAGATGTTAAAGACCTTTGCAAGAGTGATAACGCAAAATGTTCTCATTACTGTTCCTATGATTATACAAAATTAGATTTTGTTTGTTCATGCCCTTCCGAACTTATGTTAAGTGAAAATATGAAAGATTGCAAACAACATAGTAAGTAATAAGTAAAAAATAAATCAATATGAAATATTTTAACATAATTTCGTTTTAGGCGTATCTGAAGAAATGGATGACTTTAGCTTCCATGACATAAATGCTGAATTTGGTACTGGACATGACAGTGATCCAAGTACTGAGCTGGATGATAGTAGTCCAGAAACCAAATCTGAACCAAATTCCGAACCCGAAATAAGAACTGAACCGGAACCAAATTCCGAGCCTGAAACAAAAGCAGAACCTGAAGTAAAAGCCGAACCAGAACCAAACTCTGAACCCGAAGTAAAAGCAGAACCAGAACCAAACTCTGAACCCGAAGTAAAAGCAGAACCAGAACCGAACTCTGAACCCGAAATAAAAGCTGAACCAGAGCCAAGCTCTGAACCCGAAATAAAAACCGAACCAGAGCCAAGCTCAGAACCAGAAGTAAAAGCAGAACCAGAGCCAAGCTCAGAACCAGAAGTAAAAGCTGAGCCAGAACCAGAAGTAAAAGCCGAACCAGAGCCAAGCTCAGAACCAGAAGTAAAAGCTGATTCAGAACCAAAATCAGAACCCGAAGTAAAAGCTGAGACAGAACATAATTCCGAACACGAAATAAAAGCTGAACCAGAACCCAGTTCAGAACCAGAAGTAAAAGCTGAGCCAGAACCTAATTCAGAAACCCCGAAAAAAGCCGAACCAGTACTTAATTCAGAACCCGAAGTCAAAGTAGTTCCAGAACCAAGTTTAAACCCAGAAGTAAAAGCTGAGCCAGAACCAAGTTCAGAGCCCGAAGTAAAAGCTGAACCAGAACCTAGTTCAGAACCCGAAGTCAAAGTAGTTCCAGAACCAAGTTTTAACCCAGAAGTAAAAGCTGAGCCAGAACCGAATTCAGAGCCCGAAGTAAAAGCGGAACCAGAACCTAGTTTAGAACCCGAAGTAAAATCAGAATCAGAGCCAAACTCTGAACCTGAAACAAAAGCTGAACCAGAGCCAAGCTCAGAACCAGAAGTTAAAGCTGAGCCAGTACCAAGCTCAGAGCCTGAAGTCAAAGTAGTTCCAGAACCAATTTCAGAACCAGAAGTAAAAGTTGAGTCCGAATTAAAAGCTGAACCAGAACCAAAATCCGAGCCAGAAGTAAAAGCTGAACCAGAACCAAACTCCGAACCAGAAGTAAAAGCTGAACCAGAATCAAAATCCGAACCAGAAGTAAAAGCTGAATCAGAACCAAAATCAGAACCCGAAGTAAAAGCTGAACCAGAACCTGAACCGAAATTGGTACCAGAATCAGAATCTAGTTTAGAGCCGGAAGTTAAAGTTGAGCCAATACCTAAAAATGAAACTAAGCCTGTAGTAGAAAATTTTGAATCGTTATCAGATGTAGATATAAGCTCAGAAAATGATTCTAGTGAAGGTAATTCTAAATCTTCAGCGGAGAAATCTTTGTTGCCTGAAACAGACCAAACTGATAGAGAAGCTAAAGCGCACGCTGGTGTAGTATTTGACCATGAAATTAAACCCGAAATGACCTATGCAGTATCTACGGAATTCGATTTCGAAACAAAAACTGAATCTGCAATGAATGAAAACTCGAAAAAACAATCGATGGTTTCATCGGTACCACCTGAAGAATCAATGTCTTCTGAGTCTGGAGAAACTACTACTTGGGCATCCATCACTGATAACTGGTTAACTAGCTCTCAATCAAGTGTCCGAATTGTTCCAAAGTTACCTAATGATTTAGAAGTAACTGATAAAGAAAATAGTCCGGCAGGAGATGAAATTAAATTGGAATCTAGTACTACTGTATCGAGTTCAGAGCTTACTGAGTCTGAACCTCAATCGGAAGACCAAGTACCTAAAATAGTATCTAAAGTCGTAACGGAAAATTATCAGGATTCGGAAGCAGAGTCTAGTTCATCTAGTGGAGTGCGTGCTATGGAAGTTATGTCGAACCCTGAATTAGACAACGGGAATATGTCTACATTATCTCCATTGATTGCAATAGAACCAGTGAAGGATTCAAATAATTTGTTGAATCCTCTTTCATTGGACAAAAGTTCTTCTAATGAATTATCACTTATAGAAAAGGTTAGCGTTGATGTGTCTTCGCCTAGAAGTATTGATAATTTCGATGACCATAACTCTGCCGACGATTCGCTTGATCATATGGTAAAAAATATGAGAGAGGAAAACTTTGCAAGTACCAGGGATGAAGATGACATAAGCGCCGCTTTTGATTTATTCCAAAAGCCAGAAACTAAAAAGAAAGATAAAAAAACATCTAAAACTCCAGAGTTGTATATGTCTGAATCTGGCTTTACCAAAAGGAATAAAACTAAGTCTGAAAAAGAAAAGGAAAACAAGAAAACTAAAGTCGACTCAACGCTAGTCGATATGATGATGCCCAAACTAGTCAAATGTGCCGATAGTCAAATTCAATGTACGAATGGTACAACCAAAGATGGCTCGTATTGTATAAGTGCTTCACTTAAATGTGACTCAAATAAAGACTGTAGTGACAACTCTGATGAAGACGGTTGTCTTGAAAACGCTTGTTTTGGAAACTTCCAAGTAATTATTTTTTTCTTCGTAAAAATGTATTGATTAATAATAACATAATTTTTCTTAGTGTAAAAGTGGGGAATGCTTACAAAGAAATTTGGTCTGCAATAGTATAATGGACTGTGAAGACGGCAGTGATGAGTTAGCCTGTGGTATGTCAATTTGAATTGTATACTTGACTAAAATTATATTTGAGTAGTTTAATTTACATATGATTTATTAAAATTATTTTAGATGAATGGAAATGTGTTGACGGAGAAAGCCAGTGCGCTGGAGGTCAATGCTTGCCTACGTCATATTTCTGTGATGGAAAGTCACACTGCAATGGCAATTCAGACGAACTAAATTGCAACAGTAATTATTTTCCTACCCGCACATTAAGCATATTTAATACATTCTGACTACTATTCTAGGTACGTGTGATGGTTTCCAGTGTTCTAATGGTTACTGCATAAAAGATGCATTGCGCTGCAATGGTGTGAACGAATGCCCCAACGGAGAGGACGAAGAAAAGTGTGGTAGGTCTACATTACACCGATAGTCATTAGCACATGCTTTAATTATTGTGTAATAATTTATAAAACTGTTTGCGGTATTTGTTTAGTATGTTTTGCTGATCAATTCAAATGCAATACTGGATCACAGTGCATTTCGAAAAGCAATATTTGTGACGGCATACCACAGTGTAATGATCAAAGCGATGAATGGCAATGCATTCAGTTGGATGGATCGAAATTAATGGCCAAGTAAGCGTACATTATTTGAATTACCACACTTATATTAGATTTCTTTTTTAAAAAATTACTTGTTTACTAAAAATTCGAATTTCTCAGAAAACAAAGCGAGTCTTCGATGGAAGTGTGCAATACAAATTGGTCAAACGATTGGAGTGATTTCGTGTGTCACAACCTAGGATTTTCCGAAGCCAAGTCGACAAACGGTCAAGGTAGCGAATCATCTGAAAACCCTATGGGTCGTCTGAAGTTGAAAGAAGGCGTGACCTTGGACGTTTCCAAGAAACTGCCCGAGTTCCTTGAAGTGTCCGAGAGTCCATGTGATTCCGTTGTCGAGATCAAATGTTCTTCCAAACACCGTGAGTACAGATTTATTACACTTGCTTTCCACTGTCCTAGTTAAACACCGTAATCTAACCAATACCATTATAGTTTGCGGCGATTTTGGTGGCAAGGATCCTCATTCCATGGACTTGTGGCCGTCGGTCGTTTACCTGCGCAACACTAAAACAGACAAGTCGTGCACGGCTAGTCTGGTGAAACGCGATTGGCTGTTGTCGTCTTACAGCTGCATGCATTCAGTGTAAGCAAAGTTCTAAAGCTAAAATCATATTTCAGTCGTGTTTCAAGCTCGCCCGTTTACGTTCGAACTGTCGTTTGTTTTGTTTAGCGATCAATCGTTGGCTGCTGATCAATGGGAATCTATGGCCAGCAAATCACGAGTGTCCAGCGACTCGGCGGTGACCAAGAGGTCAGTGACGAAAATCGTCACCCATCCTGGCGTCAAGTACGAGAAGTTGCGGTACTTTAACGACACCGTGTTGGTCCAACTCGCAGTTCCGTACAACCTGTCGGACGACGTGAACACCGTATGTCTTCCTGACAAAATGGCTGACGATAAGCAACCGTGTGTGACTGCTGGCTGGGCGTACGAATCACCCGGCGGTATGTGTTGAAATCCACAACGACCCGTAAACAAGAAACATTGGCTAAAACGTGATTTCTTGTGTATCTTCTTGTATTTTAGTGTTCAAGCAATTTTCGCGGTACTTGTCGGAGCCGTTAATGCCAACGTCTTTGTGCAATTCGCCCAAGTACTTTAACGATTTCCTGGCCGAACGAGAACTTTGCGTTGCCTCCGCAGAAATGGAAACCACGCACGTGAGTACATTAGTTACTTAAGGTAGAGTCTCTCATAAGTTATAGTAGTAGAGTCTTGGTTGGGACAAAAAGTTTGGTTTTACTTGGCTTTGAATTTGAACAGACAACGGTGGTGAACTGAACCGGAGTCGTGAATGAGAGCGATCGCCCACAAGTCCTTCTCGTTAAATTCATTATTTCTATTTACACTATTCTGACAGGGCTTATTGTTAATCCAAATTTGAAATTACCCAAATCGATATTTTACCCATTCCGTTGTTTTGAAAAAAAAATCCGCGGCCAAAGTTTTGAGTAAATTAATGACGCAAACTCGAAGGAGTATTTTTGGATAATAGCATTCTTGACGATTATTGTTTTATTAAACAACGTTCAGTCGTTAAATTTCACTGTTTATTTAAGCGCCAGGATGTGTATTATATTCTTTTAAATCGGGCCACTAACACTCGCGAAATGATGTTGTTTTCCAAACTTGGAGTGCTAATTATTGTGTTCTGTTTGCATTGCGTTTATGTAGTTTTATTTTGAGTATAATTACCCTTGTCTCTATGGCTAGGCGTTATTATTATTATTACATTCGTATAATAAAACTAGACTTTTGCTGCGTATCTTAGATAATAATTAATTGGTTTACATTGGCATCATCTTTCTTAATGGGTTTGTTTTTTTATAGCCGGCATCACTCTTTATTCGTTAAATAGTTAAAATCAAATAACGCCCGTTTGACTAGCGTCGTGTGGATTGCAAACAAGATAACTTTAACGTTGGTAACCACATACACGGTATATCGAAGGCTTAAGTTCGGAGGAATAAATAAAATTATCTTCTACGACTCCCTGAGGGTAGGGTTTATTTAGACATTGCGTGCCATGTTATAATATTCTCCGATGCTGATGACGCACAAAGGTGAATCTAATATCCGCATTCACGTTCGCATAAAACTTTTTTGGCGACAAGTCGTCTCCGTTGACTTACGACTGTCACCCACACTCGCTACTTTTATTAAAGCTACTAGCTTAAAAAAAAAAAAATACCGATTTATTGCTAAAATGTACATATTTCATAATTAACTGGGAGAACTGAAATGCTAGTAGATGTATTGGCCCGTTCACAATGAACGATGTGCGTGTACGTTATTGGATGATTAATTATTTAAATATTACAGCAACACTACGCCAAGGTACGACCTTGTTACCGCCCCTACCGTGGGGAAGTTTTTTAACGACTTCGTTGGAAGTTTTATAATGTTCGCGAGCGCAACAGATGTTAGTCAATTATTATTAAAATTACCGGGAATGGGACTATTGTGTAGGAGACCTACCAGGGTCAAAATAAAATAGAATTCCGGTTCAGGTATTTGAGTTTAGAAGTGCTAACGTTGTTTCTCGAGACACGGGATTCTTGCATTGACAACCTAGGACTGTACAAAAATTAATTATAAGAAGGTCTAGTATAGCTGCTGTAGTCGCGCAAAGTGCAATCGGAATCGAGTAACCTGAAGGACGATCAATGGGTGTCCTTGAGGAGTTTGTGATTTCTCCATGAAAGTTACAGCTCCAGTACTCTTTGTGCTCTTTTTTTTTTTTTTTGCTAACGGTTATCAATGTCATGTTTACAGATGGAAATCGGTTCTCCGTTGATGTGTCTGGCCGAAAACGGCCTATGGCAGTTGCAGGGAGTGCTCAGCTACGTGGGTGGTCACGGTCGATCGTCCAAACCGTCTGTATTCAATCCCATAGCCGAATCCGTCCAATGGATCGAATATACCACGGCTTCGGGAAACGCGTGAACACGTTGTTTTTAATGGAACAAAATGTTATGTCACCAACATTAGTAAAATAAAAAGCAAAACGGTCTTATGAAAATCTATCGAATGTTATAGGATTCCTTGTGATTTTGTTCGTTAAACTGTATTGGGAAAAGTAATATTATTTTTTACATTGAATATTATATAATTAAAACGTTTATTATTTTTTTAATCGTGTAAACACCTCTACGTTAGTATAAAGTGCTGCTCGAAAAGAATTTGAGTTATTGTCTAATATTTTCCATAATATTTTTTAGTCGTAGAATAATAATTTTTTAACACGAGTAGCGAGTTGCCATATAATACGCATAACTAACATACATAGGACATGTGCATTTTTTTTTTATACATATATATGTTAATTTCTTTACTCCGTCCAAATTCCCTCTATTACCTACTACGATTATGATTACAGTTATTATTATTATTATTATTATTATTATTTTGTATTTTAATTTTTACCTAATACGAACATGTTCCTTCGGCCGTCCGTCGTCGTTATATTGTGTTTCGTGTGTACATAGTGGATTAACACGGTTATTATTTTAATAATTTTTTTTTTTTTATGAAAAATACATATATCATATATATATTTTTATTTCTTATATCGTTAATATCACGACTCAACATAACCCAGCAGTCGTACTCACATACGGTCTCGCCAACGAAAACGCTTGTGAATTAACATTTTTTATCATTTTGTTATGTATACTTAATTATGATCATTTTGTTTTTTTTTAGTCGTGCTCAAAAATATTATTATCATTATTATTAATATAATAATACTGAAATGTGATTTGTTTTAAAGTTTGATATATCAAAATTTAGATTTATATACAGTATATTATATATATGTATATACATATTTATGATTACAAACAACAAATTTGTTGCTTTGTCGATATATTATGCAGATGTAGTTACTCTGTAGTATAATCGCGTTATTATTATAGTATTAGTGTTTAAATTTAGATGTATGACAATAAATTTATAAATATAAAGCAAAAAAAAAAAATGTATTTACTTTAGAAAGATTTTTTTTTTTATCCTCCGATACCAAAACTATATTATCCTGAAAACTATTGATTAGTATCGTCGTATCCACGAAGAAAGTAATTTTCCTAAATGGATTTTGCTGCGAAATATGATTTTAAGATGTATTTGGGCATTGTGTAGGCTTGTCGTAAGTTCAATGAACCACGAGCCAAAAATGAGTTACTTCATATGCCTGATCATTCCCTTCTAGCTATATCTATCTCGGCCAAAATCATCTATACTACATTGAAATCGTCCATTGCCTTAATTTATAATAGTTTCATCCTTGTTTGTATAAAAACATAACGTTGTTCATGTATATTATACCGGCTATTTAATAAAGTAAGTACACGATGTAGAATTGATTTTGACAAATTGATTGATGCAAGAACATAGTTTGTCTCCAGCTCTGATGCTTCCTCGGTATAACGTAAGAAACATTATCATTAGCTTAAAATATATTTCCGAATTTTTCAGTTATCATACAATAAAATACCGGCTGAAAACAAAAGTCATAGTGATAAAATATGACAATCAATACGGAAATTAATTTATAGTTATCTCTTTAAAAAAATATCATCTTTAAAAAACTATTACCTGAAAACCTGAAGTATGTACAGTATGCACACGTTTGCAGTTACATTTGTGTTTGTCACAATAACAAGTTTGGTGTGGTGTATCCCGAACAAGCAGCCGTTTCTAGCTGTCAATCCGATTAATTATATTGTAGGCTTACAAGGTCCTGCAGTCAACAACAAATCGTTAGTAGAATCGCCGTCCGACGGTCAAGGTCTTTATCGTGATCCTTTGGACGTGTTGGGTATGCACAACGGGTATTAAGTCATAAGCATATTAACCTAGGAATATTACCCTTCCTCGGCTGTTAATTAATTCATTTCTTTGCCAGGCCTGTTATATAAATTAGCCACATGCATTTCGCTTATAATCGTATATTATCTCTATCATTTTCAAACCGTAGATTGGTTTCCACTGTTCTCTGTTGCTCACATTTCTTTTCTGCACATCAATTATTATCATTTGGTTATTGCTGATTAAATGACGTTTATACTCTAGTGTCCGTTTCAAAGTCCTCTATTTAGTTTTACCTTTTACAATAATCATAATTAGTTCCATTCACCCGTTGGCCACCGTGTCTAAATCTTTTACTGTTTCCTATTGATTTCTTCTATGTTTATAGGTGAGAATCTGTGTTTGTCAATATGTTCCCATTCGTATAGTAGCCCCTATACAAACCAATATATACTACCGTACTGAATATGATTTTACGCGGTTTTTACAGGACCGCAGTTCCCGGGTAGTCTTACCGTTCATCTGTGTGAAATAGAGCTTTTGATGTACGCCGAGGAGTTGGCAAAGGTGACGTTCACCCCCAAAGGCACGAAATTGTGCACGGACGTGTGTTTGCATTACAAGAAAAATATGATAATCGAAGGCGACATTGACGTTGAACCGTTGCGCAGCCAGTGTAATTATATAGGACAAGAGAGCGAACAACAGAAAATCGGGCTGGAAAAATCGTGCGCTTGCCCCTATGTCATCCGGTGTAAGGAACGCGCCGAAGTCATAACGTACACGTTTCAGCCCAACTGTGATGGATTTTTGAAGGTTGCCGTCTACGAGACAAAGTTTCACAGATACATCACCTAACCTAGCCTACCTGCTACCGGCGGTCGTCGTTCACACCCTATACGTATAATGTGTTTATGTTTTTTGTCTTGGCACATCCTTTAAATCCCCTGTTATCGATCATACTAGCAGCTCCAACCACGTGGACCCCACAGAAACTTAGTACTTACATTTTAAAAGGGTTTGCCATATTTAAAATAATAACATAAGATTTTGATTATTATTAACATTTTGTACCCAAATTAATGACTTTTTTGGCCCGCCCGCACTAACCGTAGATACTTTAAAAAAAAAAACTAAGAAATATAATGTATAACTGTTGTATATAATAAAAGCCTTTATCTGCTCTAGCCGTGTGTTATTATAAAAGTTCTTACAAAACCCATTATCTAGAATTTAAAACACATATAAAAACTGTAAAAACAGATTTTACTGAGAATTCCCATAAAATATTTAACGATCTTGTTCGCAAGCAAGTAGGCGTTCAAATTCTTTGTAAGTGTATATGTGTTTTTTATTATATCAAAAACCATCTGAATAAAATTCAGTATTTTTCATACTCGTAATAAAAAGTTTCTATTTTTAATAGTATTATTTATTAATGGCTGTTTTTAGGCTTCTAAAAATGATAGATAGTACGTATGAATTTTCTGATTTATTATATGAGAAAATTCATAAAATATTTTACGTGAGGAAATAAATTCTGTAACTAGCAAAAACTTCAGAAAAATAATTAACCGTGTGTGTAACCATTAAACCCATCAAGCCATTAATATCTACCCACAACGAAGTTACAATAGTGTTGTACACACGAATATACTATTAAAATGTTCATGAACGTTTTTAAAGTTTTTATTACAAACTTTTTAATATTAATTTAGAGCCAGGTATTATTAGTAGATTTATAGTTTTTGGATTTTTATGGTTTTACTTAGTATTTATTAAGGTTGTGATAATGATATTCTTAAATTGGACATATCACATGTCGTCCTTTTTAGTTTAGCTACTAGTCAGTACCTACATTTTGGTGACTATAATCACATTTGTTGTTGTTCTTTCATTTATACCTACAACAATAATACACAACATAACAAGAATTAAGTGTATGCCATTAGTGGTTACTAATTATTACGTTAGAAAAATGTAGTTTGAGTATAATATGAAAAAAGTTTATTTTGGAAATTAAGGAATATTAAACTTATTTGTTCAATTATATAAAATAAATAAGATTATGCCTTAACCTACTATTAAAAGTATACTGTTAGAAAAAAATTAAATGGAAAACTAAATTTGTTACTTATTTTGTTTAATTAATATTGTTTATTTTTTCAAGTTTATATGTTTTAGATTATCATTATTATATGTTTAACTATGCATATATTAATGAAGAATATGTTCGATGACACGGTTTTATACAATTATTCTCCTTAATTTCCAAACAAGTAAATGAGGACATTAATGAACGCATTTATGAATTTATAACTTATACTAATGTATTCATAGAAATGTATGTTTCCAGCACGCAGTATTGTGTATACATATTAAATGAAAAATGCCTGCCATATTTCAAACAAAACCGTATGATTTATTGTAGCAATCTGTAATTTATGGAAGTCTGTAGGAAACAAATACACGGTCAATTTTTACAAATCGATTTATAGGTACTCTATTTTTGTGGAAAACCCAAAACAGTACAAAATTCAGAATGTATACCGTGTCATCCGCTTAAAAATAATACGTCACAATAACCATAGTCTATCGTATATTTGTCATATCATCATATACAAATTCGGCAGAGGTCGGATTTCGTTTTATGTACATAACATCCATTCAAATCCTTTTTCCTAAACAAATACAGTCTAAAGTACACCAAGAGGCTAGTTAATCGAAATCTAATATAATATCTGGATTACCGAATTCGTCATCATTTCAAGAATAATTAAAAAAAAATACTATTGGATGGCCGTCCAAATCAGTCGAGCCAAACATCAGCAAAAATTAGATTTTAACAGTTAAAACGTGAAATTCCCCTGACACCGGAACTAACTACATTTTATGATCGCCGGCGCCGGTTTGCGGTGAGCTAGAAAACAGTTTTGGGCAACACATTGTAAATATTTTCAGTTACATAGTGTAGCGTTATAAATATAGAGGCGTGGAGGCGATCGGCCGTATCTCGGGGTATCGTGGGGCCGACGAACGGACAGTGGGTCATCGGTTGTTTTATCGTCGATACAATGCACGAGAGCCGCTTTTGTGCCGCGTTATAGATTGCCGTATAAATTATATATATATATATATATATGGGCGTACAATAGAACAGTGACGTCACGGACCGGAGACAATGACGTCACGGGGCGGCGGCGGCGGCGGCGGCGTAACAGATTAAAATGCCTCTCTCTGCGGATAGCACATCCGCTTCCTTCGGCACAAACCGTCTCGTTCTTAAAGCGGCAGCAGTAACACCGCCACTCGATCCTTAACCGTCTGCCGCCGCCCGTATCCGAGTCGACGAACTTCCTTGGAAATTCCACGTAGGCCGATAGTGTATCTATAACGATGACGATGCCGGCGACGGTAGTCTGAGCAAAAATCTGTGTGTATATTATTTATACGGGGTTGATGATACCCTTCGCCGCCACCGCCGCCGCCGGTACATTATATTGTAGCGTTTATATGCGCTCGTATTGATTGCACCGGAACAAGGCACAAGGAACCGCGGTATGTGCCGGAGTAGTATACCGGTCTCGACGGCTTTGTATATTATTCAATATCGTTATTATTATTATTATTATTGTTATCGGTGGCGGTTCTAGAATAGTAAGTTGCGCCCGTGCCGAAATAATTGTTTTCGTCTTGGATGTGTTAAGGTGAAAACAAAACAAGTTGGGATTCGAATCGCGCCTACGGCTCTGCGTTGCAAAAGTATAACGTTGCCCGTACGAAATCCAAGTCCTATATATATATATATATATAGAACCGGACCCCTGATTATTATTAAGCACCTCGATCCGAACCCCGATACTTCTGTTACAATGCATACGACGGTCGGGAACGTCGTTCTGTTTGGGGTCGAAGCCCGCGTTAGCCTTAATAAATAAATAAATATATAAAAGCCGGCACCTGACGGCACACGCGTTTTCCGACCAATCAATAATATATGACACTAATATAGCCAGAAAAACAATCTCTCCCTATTAGACTTAAGT